AGCAACCACCCGGCCCATCCAAGTAAGGGTGGAGGACGACACAGGCCAAGCGCACAACGGCTCGTGCCGCCTGCTGAAGCTGCGCTTGGCCAATCTTCGCAGGGGCAGGGAGGAAGAAGCGATGCTTCGCTGTATGAATGAGCTCGCGATCGGGCTGAAATTGGTCGTGCACAGCACGACGAAGCGGAGGTGCTGTGCCGTGAGGGCCTGGCAGGTCGCCGGGCGAAGCTTGGCAGCGACCATCCATCCACGCTGGCGTGACGGGCATCAATATCATGGCTACCCATAGGCCCTAAAGTAGTTCCTTTTTGGGGCTCATATATAGAATCCTATAAGGTAACCCCAAAAAGGAACTACCAAGGGGCCTATGTGTAGTTTGCTCAAGGATCAGGGCGGATTTGAGGAGGCCGAGCTGCTGTGCCACGAGGCCCTCGAGGGCCGCCAGGCCAAGCTCGGCAACGACCATCCGGACACGCTGAGCAGCATTAAATGCTGCTCATCGTTTCCGGGTGGTCATTAACAACCTGGCTGGGCTGCCCCGGGGCCTAGGCATCCGCAGACATTGGACAGCATCTATTACCTGGCTGACTTATTAAGAGCTGGGGCAAATGGCACGGGGCAGAGGAGCTCTTTCGTGAGGAGCTGGAAGGTTGTTGTGCGCTTTATGGGGCCGAGCACAACGACACCCCAGGCTCTGCTTCAAGTTTGGTGAAGTTTCTTGAGGAGCGCGGCAAGGCCACTGACGCGTCGCAGTGGCGGCAGGAGTTTTCATTGGCCGATATTGCAGAGGAGGAGTAGGAAGAGGAGAAGGTGGACGAGGTCCTCGCGCAGTAGTGGTCACTGGCCATAGTGCGGCCGCACGACATGGACCGACCCCTCTCTGTGTGAGATCTGAGAGGCAGCGAAAAAATCGTCCAGTACTGAGGCTCCGAGTGAGTTGACTAACCCTTGAAGTAGAACCGAGATGATGTTTTGAAGCTGACTGATGTGCCTCCAGGTGGTCTCGGTTACGATGTTGTGATGGCCGTTCCCACCATTTGCTGGAGTGTTCTGAGGCACCTCGTAGCTGATGGGCTTCTGCTCATCTTGTCTCAAGACGTTCAAATCTCATCTGCTACGCATTCTACCTCTAGTCTCCATTGTAGTCTCTTTTGGGGGATACCTTATAAATTCTTTAGTATATAATTGGTTAAACCAAAAAAGGAACTACAATGGAGACCATAGGTAGTGTCGTGTTGGCCTGATGATCATGAGATGTCCCTGCAGCAACCGCCAGGCCAGACCTGTGGCTTGGATCCGTGCCTGCTTAGCGTGGGTTTAGGGTTTAGTGCGAGTCTGGAAGCTTCCGAGCTGATTGGCAGAGCCTGGGTTCATAAAAGGGTTTATAGGGTTTAGGGTTTAGGGTTTATACTTATCCAGGCGAGAACCAACAAGTCTGCTGAAAGAAAAGGGTTTATATTTAGTGCGAGCCGAAACCCGACTTCCTCCCAGCTCCCTCCGTGCAGGCGGCGACGGCCAGTTGACCACGTGGCCGCACGAGGGGCCCAGCGATCCGAGGTGCTTGCCGGCGCGCAGGAAATGGAAAAGTGGCGGCCGATGGGGTTTATGGGCTCAGGGTAAACCCTGAACTCTCGGGAGCTGACGTAGGGTTCAGGGAAACTGAAAAGGGGAGGTTTCTGGGCTTGGGGTTAAGGGTTTAGCCCTTGTCAGTCATAGCTGTGGCGCCAGTTGCCTACTGTGTTCGGGGCTGCAGTCTACAGGTACGGCTTGCAGGATGTTTAATCACCTTAACGCCATGTGGGTTAAGCATGCGTGATAGGCCTGCCTGACACGATCAAGCTGTAGCCCTCAGATTCAGGACAATTGTAGAGCGAGGCTTCACTCACAGACACTCACATCCCTCTTTCTTTGAACGCGCAGCTGCAGCGAAGGCGAAGGCACGCACCAGACTACTTTCGCACAAGCTCTGAGCCCTAAACCCTCACCCCCAAATCGAGAAGTGCACCAAGAGTGTCACAAACCCTAATCCCTGGCCTTAACCCCTATAAGCCCTAATCCCTCAACCCTAACCCCTAAACCCATAAACCCTGAGCCAACTACCATCATGCCCAGCGTGATCTTCCATGGCTTTGCTTTAGGGTGGCCTTTGACGGCCGCCATGGGGCAGGCGCAGCTTTGAACTAAAGCTTCGGTTTAACCGGGTTTCGCCAGACACAGACATGATCAATCTCCGAAGCACTGGCAATGTAAGTCGTTTGGGAAGCGCTTGGGAATTTCGCATCTGGATTCTGTGCTTCAGGCGGTCGCCCGCGCTGCGCCGCATGGTCACAAACTCGGTTTTCGCAGGGTTCTATACCAAGTGAGCCTGAAGCCTAAATTTGCCCAAACCCATCCAGGAACTTATGCCAGGCATCGTCCACCGCACAGTGAGTTGAGAGCAAAGCTGAAGAATAAGTAGGCTTCAAGCCCTTTGGAAGTTGATCCTGCGGGACCGTGGTCCTGAGAATCTTCTTCGTTACCGCTCCTGACTGTGAGCAACACAGTTTGAATCCACTATCAGACCTTGACACTGGATGTAAAGCAAAGCTTGGCATGTTGCGCGAACTAGTTATTGATTGGTATTCCATCTACCGCTAGCTAGTCAGGGCATACGGAATTGGCTGATAAGACACCTTTGCGGCAAAATGCTTGGACATAGTGCCTGGTCAGTGCTGCATATTGCTACCACCACCACCACCACCACCACCACCACCACCACGACTACTACTACTACTACTACTACTGCCAGGCACCAAAATCAGGAATATGCGTTTGGTTATGCTCATCAACAGGCTGCTTTTCAATGTGCCTTAACAAAATTTAAACCCTAAGCCCTGAACCTTAAACCCTACAACCCTAAACCCTAAACCCTATTTCGAGGCCTACTGGAGGCCTCCAGAACCTGCCTCATTCCTTGCGAACGGCAGCTGGCGGCCGACTGCGCATCTGGAGCCGGCTTAGGGTTATTACTAACTTAGTTTCCCAAAAGCGTTTAAGGACATGCGAGCTTCTGTAAGGGTTATTGTTTAGAGGGTGTCTCGAAAAGGTTAAGGACATGAGTTTCTGAAAGGGTTGTTGTAAGAGTTTCTCAAAGAAGTTTAAGAGCATGCAAGCTTCTGTAAGGGTTACTATAAGACTATAAGAGTTTCTTATACGGGTTCAGGACATGAGAGTTTCTACACGGTTTGCGCTAAGAAGTTCTAGTGCTGGTTGAGGACATGCGCTTTTTTGCAAGGTCTACAAACGGAGTTTTTCACAAGGGTTAAGGACATGCGAGCTTCTGTAAGCGGTATTCTAGGAGTTTGTAACAAGGGTTTAGGACATGCGAGTTTCTTGAAGGCTTGCTACAAGAGTTTCTAATATGGGTTAAGGGCATGCGAGTTTCTCCAAGGGGTTGTCTAAGAGTTTTCAGAAAGGGTTAAGGACATGCGAGTTTCTGTAAGGCTTACCATAAGAGCTTAAACTCAGGGCTCGGGACATGCGAGATTTAATGCTAATACCAGCGAGTCGCTTTTCATAGAGAGTCTCGGGTTTCTGTAGGTTACTGTTGCGGTTATATAGGGTTCCTGTGGGTTTTTATCCATAATCAAGGGGTTTAGGGCATAATTAGGCGTTTGTCTTAGCAAGTTGTTATAATGTGGTCTTCATAGGCATTCCGGCCGCTCAGAGCTACGCAACCGTAGCCGGAAAAAACGCCTTAACACGTTCTGCGGGAAGAGAGCCCTGAGCACAAAACCCTAAACCTGAACCCAGAAACTTGACACACCTGTCGACTGCAAAACCCCTAAAACCTCAAAGTCACACGTGTTCCCCTTCTATCCCCATTCTTTCAGAAACCCTTGCCCTTCCTTAAAGGAGCTTTATAGAGGAAGCCTATAGTAACCTTTGAAGGGAACATAGACACCCTATATGCCTGCAGACCGCTAAACCCCAGCCCAAACCGTATAGTTCCGCCAGTGTTCCCTTTATATCCTCTTGATTGCAGAAACCATTATCCTTTGGTAACCCTTGATGTAAGGGAAGATCATGCGGCTTTTCTAAGTAGAACAGGGCTATGGAGCCCATTATACTAGAATTATAGTAAGGAACCCCCAAAACCCTATTCTAATATAAAGGCCCCTACATTAGTCACAGGACCGCGCTCTTCCAGACTTCAACTGCGACCGTACACGCTTCCGTGGGCTTCGCCATGACTTCGCCAGCTTTGCAGCCAGCCTACGCCAGCTCCTCAGGCTTCAGCATTTACAAAAGAGGTCCAAGTACCTAACAATCACTAATAATCACATGCTCTTCTGAATACTAACCTACAAAACTGCTTTCCGTAACCCAAACACTTGATTATTAGGTCCGTTGGACCCTTAAGGTTAGCCCTTGGAGTAGGAGGGTTTTAAAAGCTTTAGGGTTTATAGGGTGTTCAGAGTTGCGGGGTTACGGTTTGGGGTTCGAAAACCTCCCAACCTTTCAGGGCATTTAGGGTTTAGGGTTGGGGATGGTTAGGGCTTACAGGGTTTAGGGTTTAGGGCTGGTTGGGGTTTATAGGGTTTAGGGTTTTGGGATGTTTGGGGTTTATAGGGTGTAGGGTTTAGGGCTAATTAGTGATTTTAGTGCTGCTTGATTTGAGTGAACAAGCAGGAACAGCGCTCTCCGATTGGTACAGGTGTACTAGTTCTTTTCATTGTGGAGGTCAGTGTTCAGGCGATTGCACAAGTCCTGATGCAAAAAAGCGCTGCTGGATTGGTTGATTCGCGGTTAAGGGCTCATGCAGGCCGTCTCATCTAAGTAATTATCAGCGGGCAAGCGGGCTACAGCAATCGCTGCGCGCCCCTGTCTCCACGGTAGCTGTCCAACAAGAAAAGATCAAGCGCGCAAGCCATGTGAAAGATTCCGACCCTTCCCTACTAGTATGCTAATCTGGAGCAGTCGTCGGCGTGAAAATATGAAACTGAAATAGCACTATCAGCCCGAGTACCAGTACTAGCTAGTCAGTACTAGTACCAGAACCCGTCTGTCCTTCTGGATCGTGATGTTGATACACCCGAAGCCCTACCCACCAACTCAAGAGTCCGCGGACGCGCAGCCGAACTGAATTGAAGACGTGACAAGACCAAAAAGCCAAACGCGAAGGGTCCATGTACCCAAGTACTACATACTCCCAAAGGGTCCAAAGTACCTATCTGGTAGAGTGTAGGGTTTCTATAGTAGGAATTGTTATTATAATTTGGGAAAGTATCCCCCATAACAGTACCTAGGACCCTTTGGGACTTTGGCCTCCAAGTAATCCCTATGTAGGTACATTGGAATGTATATACTATACTAGTATGAGCACATGGACCCTTAGGGAAACTGCAAATTCTAAGCCCCCCCATACCTAAACCGTAACCCGTAACCCTAAACCTAAGCCCTAAATCCCCGGTCTTGCACCGTAGCTGGACCGTAGCTCCCGACTGACATGACAGGCACCGACTCCTCCAATGAGTTCGGACATCGATGGCGCCGTGGAGTCCACAGGCCCACGGCTCAAATCTCGAAGTTTGTAGCTGAGTGGATTCACTTTACACTTTTTTGGGATAATATCATCTCCTATAGAACTGAAAGCCTGCACTTGCTGGGGCGTATGAATTCAGCAACTAAGTTGGTGTAGGGTTTAGGAGTTTAGGGTTACGGTTGAGGATATGGGGGGGTGCGTTCCTCACGGTTACCGTATAAGGAGATGTCTTATTGTTACAAGTCATAAGAATAAAACCCCAAGAAATTATTGAGATAGTTTTCTTATTTTGGCTCCAAGGGCGCACAAGTTCATTTCACACTCGGTCACTACGACCTCTTCTTCTGACACTGTTACATCCTTCGAACATTCGACATGCAAGCCTTAGGGCCCACGTAGACCAAGGTTGCCTAGTTCAAGCTGCATACCTATACTTAGGGGTCGGAAGAAGCACTACCCTTATCCCTTTGTCTATGCGATCACACTATACTGCGCAATAGCGTTTTCCGAGTTATTAAGGACCCCATATGGGGTGTTTCCGAAAATAGGGGCCCTTTTTATAGTACCCTAAGTAGTAGGATCCTTATTCTAAGGACCCCAGAACAAGGTACCCCTAATTTTCAAACCCTAAACCCTGAACCCTAAACCCTAAACCCTAAACTGCATTTTCGCCTGCAAGCTTTCCAAACAGCCTGGAGTTGGGGATGCCAGTTCGGCTCTTGCTTTACCCAGAGAGCCCAAGACCCCTTAATCTAAGGAATATACCTTAAAACCATAAGATTGAGGCCCCTATACTTTAAGGCATATTCCTGAATTAAGGTTCAGGGGGTTCTCTGGGTACGTATCTGATGAGCGCTCTGCAATTGCGGGTTGCTTTTGACCCATCTCCCTAGAGGCCGTCTGTTTCGTGGCTCTGTGGCTAGACTTACACTTGCAAGCGTGTGTCTGTAGATGTGCTGAAGGACAGTGCTGGAGTCGTGCTGGGTATTTTTACTGGGGTCGTTCGGGCTAGGAATGCTAGGAATGACACCTGCTGTCAAAATTTGTGAGTACTCCTTGATTGACCTTGCTCTTAAGCAGCTGCGGGTGACTCTGAATCCCGTCCTGTCGTGAGTGTGTTCGCTGTCGTGCGACCTGATCAGCTAAGCGGGTCGTGAAAAAACTCTCCAGGGTAGTGTAATCGTACATAGTTTGCATGAATCCTGCGTCACGCCGGCACCTGGAAGCCGCTTAGCAGGTTGCTTGAGATCGTCTCGGAAGTGCTGGCGTCTCTTTCTTTGTATTGACCTCAACTGACCTATGCCAATCCGTGTGTGAGTGCCGAACCCCCCCCCAAAAAAAAAAAAAACTACACTCGAAACCCCTAAACCCAAACCCCTACGCCCTATACAAACCCTAAGCCGCATCCCATTTGCCTAGATTGGCGCTTCGCCACGGTTTTGCACACGGGGGTCGGCCTGCTGCTGGGAACTTCTCCCAGGTGCAGCTCTTGAGGCTGGCACTCTTCTAGTGGTTTCGGACTTCTATGTTTCGGGATTGTGGATATCTCCGATTCCAGGTGGGGTTTGGGCCCCGGCCCCCCCACTAACCCTCATGCTGTAGCGGTCGATATAGTGACTAACAGTATCCTTCATAGCATTTAACAGAATTATAGTATAATTCTATAATACGTAGAAACCCTATTCTAATCTATTAGGGCACCCTAAACCCTATCAGCCAAAAGCCCTGAACCCTGAACCCATACTTTACCCATAGGCCCCATAGTAGTTCCTGTTTGGGGTTCATATTTAGAACCTATTAGGTAATCCCAAAACGGAACTACTCAGGGGCCTATGGGTGGCACCTACATGATGTTGCGCTTCATTCCTACGTGTTATCAGCGCTCAGGTCGAGGACTACTCGCTGTCCCTCTCGTCACTACCCGTAGGCCCCATAGTAGTTCCTTTTTGGGGTTACCTTATAGGATTCTAAATATGAACCCCAAAAAGGAACTACTGTAGGGCCTATGGGTACCTTAACCTACCAAAACCAACTTTAAGTTTTTTGTAGGTTCCTCAGTCTAAAACCCTAGTATGGAGTTTATAGGGACCCTACACAAATGTAGGTGTTGGTAGGTTAAGGTAGTTAGTATCTAAGTCCAGAATGAAGTTTAGTTTTCTAGAGCTGCGGGTTTCATCATGTTGGGTCCGTACTATTTTGGGGACAAAACAACTTTAAGCCTAAGACCTAGCGGCACAGGAACAGCCGCACTGCCTAAAGCCCGGACCCACAAACCTCAGCCATAAAAGCCCTAAGCCTAAGACCTAGCGGCTTAGCCGCGCAGGAACTGCCGCCGTACCTAAAACCCAAACGCACAATCCTAAGCTTAAAGCGCTTTACAGCCCGAAGCCTATAAGACCTGCAGCGGAACCCTAATTTAGAGAACTAGCGATATGTCCCAAACCGAATTCTGACTGTTTGGCATCTCTTTCGTTTGCGGCAAGTGCTTTTACAAAGGTGTAGGTGTAGGGTTTTAGGGAATTGGGATTAGGGTTAGTTTTAGTCTCTGAAGCTGGTCACTTTGCCGGGCGAGCTCAGCAGTCGTGCAATCTCCCGTATGAAGTCTTCTACATGTTGCAGCTGACGGTGTCACTTCAAAAACGTTGTGTCGATATTGGGCACTTCCCTTCCCCCGATCTACACCCTGAAGACACGTTGCACAGATGCCCATATACTCCTCGAGCAGCAGTTCCTTAAGCGACGCTTGTCGGATTCAGGGTAAACCGAGAAGCAGTTATATAGGGGTTTAGCGTTTAAAGGTTTAGGGGTTTAGCATGTATGGTAAACCTTTGTAAACCCTAAACAAACCCTAAACTCAGAAGCAGTTGTTGCGTGCAGATCTTGTTCCCTCGGTGCCGCCACCTTGGCCGTCGCGGAGCTGGTGACCCTTGCACTGCGCACCTGGCTCATGCACGTCATATAGGGGCCTAAACAATCTCCAATGCTTTTTGTGCAGGGTTCCTTGTTATAGTTATGCTATAGTATACCCCCAACACCCTATTCTTATTGTTATAAGGCCCCTATATCAAATCCCCGAGCCCTCCAACCCTAAAACCTATAACCTTCACAACGGCAGGCCCTCCCTGTAGCGGAAAAAAGCCTGCCTCTTTTTAAGGTTCCTTATCATGGTTTCTTTACGCAAGTCCTTAAGGTAGGTGTTAAGCCCTAAACCCTATAAACCCCAAACCCTCAACCCCTCATAACCCTTGGCCTCAAGCTTTCAGTGCTCACGCTGGGAGCAACCGGTCCCCAACCTCCGTCTGCTGTATACCTGTGGCCCAAAAGACCTACCGTTTTAAGGTACTCTTTCCAAAATGGTAGGTCGTTTCAGCTACAGGTAATGCCTGTCGAGATCCCTTTGCTGGTGATTTGCTCCACAATGTAGCAGGTAAAAAACTCGTGCCCAAAGCTCTAGGCACTTCCCTTGCCCCTGATTAGAGGCTCCGGGGAGTTAGTAAGCACGTTATAGACACAACTGACAGTTTCTTGTACCCTAAACCCTACACCGATTGCTCGGGCCCCTCGATCTGAACGTGTGAATTTCATCGCTCTCATACCTACCCATTCTACAGCCACGGCACTCTAACCTATAATCCGAAACCCCAATCCCAAAGCGCTAAAGCCACCCAAGGCTTGACCAGATCCAACCGCACCGGCCTCTACCAGTTCCAGCTGGAGGCTTTAAGGGGGAAGCCCTATGTCGAGCCTAAACCCTCAAGATGCCGTACAGTTTCGGCAGAGTTCTGTCCAGATTCGGCATGCGTTGATGCGCTCGAAGCTCGACGGATGTCAGCTCCGAATTCAAGCTTCGGAGAGGGTGCGACAAGTCGGAAAGCACCAAGCTTGCGGGCGCTCGGAACCGTAAACCCCAAACGCTCCTCGAGTTGCACGGTGTAGCGCAGTCTAGTGAGGTGAGGTGTCTGCAATGCGATCCAGTCAGCTAGGGGGAGGAGAAGGCCCTATGTCGACCCTGATTAAGACCCCTGATTAATACACCTAAACCCTAAACTTACTGTAGATTTTACCCTGCCTCTGG